AAAGAACTGTTGTGACTTTTTCCTAGTCCGTCTGCCAGCCAATCAGTTGCCTTGCTGCAAACTGACCCGAGGCCCCAGTTTATTGTTTCCAGTATACAGTAGTTTGATATGGGGTAATCCAGAATTCAGTCTTATATATATATATATATATATATATATATATATATATATATATATATATATATATATATATATATATATATATATATATATATATATATATATATATGTGCAAGTAAATCACTGTGGGTGCGCGTGATCCAGGTATATGCTGAGAATCCAGGTAAAAAAGTCACAGAAAAAAAGTCACAGGAAAAAAAGTCACAGAAAAAAGACACAGAAAAAAGTCACCTTACCTAACCTAACCTACGTGCATCACATATAAATTGTGTTGTCAATATGTAAAAGTCATGTATTGTCAGTTAATAACCGTTTTAAAATATTTTTAGTTTTATTACCTTAAATGCGACTTTTTTTCCTGTGACTTTATTACCGGCCACCTATGCTGATAACCACAAGGAAAGAAGAAAACACGAAGTTCCCAAGCGCTTTCGTGTAATTCACATCTTCAGGGGTGAGTACAGACTAAGGAGAAGTACAAAACAAGGTGTATATATACAGAGGAGGGTGAGATCAGGTCCACAATGGTCAGGTATTAGGTAATGACCCTACTAATCTTTAAATAGCACCGCAGCGGTCGGTAGTCAGTAAGTAAGATTAAACCACCTTCAGCAGTCTGGTTTAGATATGTTGATGATGTATTATGTCTCTGGCCATGTAATGAGGACCTAAAAGCTTTCCTGCCACAACTTAATAACTGAGCCCCCTCGATCAAATTCACTGTGGAATTAGAGCATGACTGTGAATTGCCTTTCCTAGACTGTCTGATCCACAGAATAGGTAACACCTTTAAGTTCAGTATTTATAGGAAACCTACTAATGTGTGTTCATTTATTCATTATTATTCTTTCCACCATAATAGAGTCAAACAGTCAGTATTTTCATCAATGTTTTTACGTGCTTTGAAAATTTGCAGTCCGGAATTCATTGATGAGGAATATAAATATATCTATACTATTGGCTTGAACCTAAGTACCCTAGATCTTTCATAGACAAATGCCTTAACATTACTAAGAAATCTTTCTATAGAACCGATCCCAAGCCCACCCATGACCATAGGAATCTCTTAATTTTACCATTTCACAAAAATTTATCTCAAATTTCTTTACAACTAAAAACCTGGAGCGTCAATGTGGCATTTAAAAACTCATGCACTGTTAAACAAATGTTACTCAAGAACTCCCCCAACAATACAGGTGGCTGCATTTATAAGGTTCCTTGCAAGGAATGTAATATGTTTTACTTAGGCCAGACAGGTAAAGATCTTGTAACTAGACTTAAACAACATAAATATAGTGTTAGGACAGGCCAGGAATCCAATGCTCTGTTTGTTCATTTGAGGGATAATAAACATTGCATTGACTGGGATAATGCCTCCTCAATATTACCTTGTAATTCAATTGACAGTCGGAACATTATTGAATCTAGTCTCATTAAACATACCGAATCCGTCAGCATGAATTTGAGTAATGGTGTGTACAAACTGGATAATTTCGTAATTAAGAAGAATTGTAACCAGGTGAGAAAGATAGGCCAGCTTACCCTCTGACCTGACTACCGACCGCTGCGGTGCTTTTTGAAGATTAGTAGGGTCATTACCTAATACCTGACCATTGTGGACTTGATCTCACCCTCCTCTGTATATATACACCTTGTTTTGTACTTCTCCTTAGTCTGTACTCACCCCTGAAGATGTGAATTACACGAAAGCGCTTGGGAACTTCGTGTTTTCTTCTTTCCTTGTGGTTATCAGCATATACCCTGAATCACGCACCCTCCCCAAGTAGTTTACTTGCATATATAACATATATATATATATATACTCTACCTGTATATATATATATATATATATATATATATATATATATATATATATATATATATATATATATATATATATATATATATATCTCATGAAGATCACAATGAAAAATTGGATTAGATAAATCTTGATAAAATCACACAAGGAAAAGGGATACAATGGAGCACCTTAGATCCATACATATACAGTATATATATATATATATATATATATATATATATATATATATATATATATATATATATATATATATATATATATATATATATATATATATATATATGTAATATTCAGAAATTTCAGAGTATTTCAAATGCCCTCATAGTGATACTGAGCGTTCAAGGTCATCTGAGGGAGAGGGCTGCTTCTCGTAGCGAGATTGCGGAACTAGGCCTATATGATATTAAATGTAATTTACCGAATTAATAATGATGCGATTCATGAAGTTAAGGGACTATTATTGAATTTGAAATTATTATAGATCGTTTAGCAGTCTGAATAATGTAACGTGTGTCCCAAGGGTTATTAGTTAGGCGGAAAATATATCCGTAGAGCTCGCTACGCCTTGGGGAGCGATGCTGGCTAGGCCAGTTCGAGCATTCACACGACAAGACGTTCGCGCGTCCATCAGAAATAGTCCGTGGCCTGGTCACCTGTGCTCGCTATTGCAGTATAACAAGTAAGTCTCATTCGATCTCAGACAGGGTTAGATAGGGCAGTGATAAAGTAAACTAGAGCTAACAGTGAGTTCATTTCAGGGTTTCCGTCAGAACCCACTTGACTGAGTTGACCGGAGTTGACTGCGAGATTGACTGCCGTTGATGATTGAGGGTGGCGATTGTCGCCATTGGACCGGTCAGTGTAGGCCTGTCACTGTTTAGCGGTAGCAAAGGATCTCTTGAGTGAACAGTGCTCCCGACAACTAAAACGACGGGACCAGCATCAGCAGTGGGTGATCAGTTCTTACCACTCCGTGCACAACCCCACATGTCGAGCAGCTAGTGAAACCCTCTTGCTAACGGGAAGCTAAGTTTCTCTCAACTGCGCAAGGTCTGATTGGCTCACTCTCTTCCTGCCCATGGACGCACTGGGGGTACACTGAGGCTATCTGAGTATATTAATGGTCACACATGAGACCGTGAGTCTAGGACTCTCGGGAATACCTAGAGAAAATTTTATCTTCTTCTTATTACGGTGTAGTTAACACCATTCCTCAGACTGATATTATCTTGACGTGTGTAGTTTAATATTTCTTAAATAATTTTGATAGTAGTGTTTTTAATGTTTGTGCCATGAAGTGGAACCAGAGTGATACTGTGATTTGATTCTTTTAATGCCTCTAATTGTTCTTCATAATTCTGATCTCAGGTATAACCTTGTTCCCCAGAGGTGCTATAATTTTGTTGAGTGCCCATAAGGCCTATTCAGTGTAGATATTTAATTCCTTAAATTTTATTACCATTTCCTCAGTGACTGATATAATTTTGTTGAGTGCCCTTAAGGCCTATTCATTGTAGAGTATTTAATTCCTTAAATTTTATTACCATTTCCTCAGTGACTGATATTATCTTGCTGAAAGCCCTTAAGGCCTATTCATTGTGGAGTATTTAATTTCTTATTTTTTAGTACCATTTCCTAAGTGACTGATATTATTTTGGGAAAGCCTTAAGGCCTGTTCATATGTGCAATTAACATTTCTTAATACTTTAAATTTATTGTTGCCTGTGTTTCTAATAATTTCTATGTCATGTATAACTTTTATTCCCCAGAGTAGTGTTTAAAGTTTAAGTTAAGAGGTGCGCATATTGGTGTACCATTATTTGATTGTGTTTGTAGTGTTGGAGGGAATTTAAGTGTCTAAATTTTACAGTGTGTCTCATTCATCCCAGTCACAGACGCTATCCTTCCACGGGTCACGGACAGTTCATTTTGTGTAGTAGATTTAAGTGTTCTTGTGCTGGTTCGGGATTTTTCTCAAAGGGGCGCTTCCACTGCCTTTACCATCTATTAAATTTTAATAAACCCCAAGTCAAGTGAGAAATTAAAGTCCAGCAAATTCCGACCGGTTACATATATATATATATATATATATATATATATATATATATATATATATATATATATATATATATATATATATATATATATATATATATATATATATATATATATATTAAAACCCATCTGAAAATAGACCATAGATTTAAAAGCAGTAGACCACGATATACAAATTGTCACCTGTTATAAAAAAGAAGAAAACATATTGCACAAATCGTAAAAGATTTCTACACACCTTTTTGCTTACATAGAACCTGAACCCTCGAGCAGCTGGGCTCAGTATAGAAATAGCATTATTTTTCTTTCTATTTAAATGGTGCTAAATTATTGATTAATTAATTATTATTATTATTTTTATTTTATTATTATTTATTTATTATTATTATTATTATTATTATTATTATTATTTTATTATTATTTTATTATTATTTTCATTATAATTTTTATTATTAATATTGTTATTATTATTATTATTATTATTATTATTATTATTATTATTTTATTATTATTTTTATTATAATTTTTATTATTATTATTATTATTATTATTATTATTATTATTATTATTATTATTATTATTATTATTAAATTTATTAATATATTTGATAAAATGCATAGGTAATTATCAAGGACTCAAGGTTGAAATTATCATGGTTATCGTGTTATACCGTTAAATTGTAACTATATCCTGATCGCATTACAGTGAAATGTTTTTCTTTTAGTAGTTACGGGCAGTGCGGATACAACACACTGAATAATAAGCTTCGTTCCTTAAGGAAACAATCTGGTCGACATTTCAAATTTATCATTTCGCTTCCCCAATTAAATCCAGGTACCGCACATTGCTGGGGTTCCTTGGTGCCTCTCCTCTATCTTCTGAGCAGATACTCATATATGTATATATTTCATGATCACATTTTGAGTTTGAATCTGGACCTATAGGAATTAATTAGTACCTGTAATATTATTTTTAATTCTAATTCTGAAATCTGTTGCCTTACCATGGCCAGTCTACGGGCTTGTTCACCTGTAGCGGCGCCGACCATGAAGAGGGCGCGGGCCTTGTAGAACAGTGACTGATAGAGCTCGTACAGCACTGAGCCCCTCAATCGTGAGATACCTGTAGGCAAAGAAGCAAACCAGGGGGATGTTAGAACTGGTTTGTCCCGGTGATGATGAGATGTGTAGTGGGTGATGGAAAATAATGGATTAGAGGAAGAGAATTTATTTATTTATTTATTTATGTATTTATTTATTGAGAGAGAGAGAGAGAGAGAGAGAGAGAGAAATATTACCATACGAATGTAATCAATGGAAAACTATCACATCTTGAATGGATAAACATACTCACTATTTATGTATATAAAGCTGACGACTATGTTAATTAACAGACAAACAGGTGCACCCACACACACTCGCGCACGCCCACACACTCCCATGCCCTCCCACACTCTCATACACGCCCACATGCTCACACTCCAACACACGCCCGTCCCCCAACGCCCCACCCGTCAGTGATTAACCTGACCCACATTTGAAACATCCAGAAATATTCGGAACAGAAACTCGAGGATCAGGAAAATTTACATGGCTGAAAATAAACTCCATCAGCTGTGAGTGTGGCGTGGGGGGGGTTGTTGACGTTGTGTGGGCGTTTTATTTTATTATTTTCCCGTTGTGTGGGAGAAATCTAAGTACAGGTATTTTGGTTATGTACTATACACACTAGACGTTCACTGAAATTAACGTTTTTGCTTAACTCACCCCTACTTTGAAAGGTAAGTCACTTCATTAACGTAAAGATAACACTGAATGAACAAGAGCACCACAGGGGGTTGCAAGCTGAAGTAAACAGTCAAATTTAACTGGACGATAACAAGCCAGGGTGCTGACATAGCTCTTCGTTTTCTTCTAAAATAGACGACCTAAAAACGTAGATCCTTCCCTTACATAAAACTGTGGCCAAAACTTAAGTAAAACTTTGGCACACAAAAACGAAAGAACAACTATAAAGGTAAAATAAAATCACAACAGGGGCAACTGAACAAACCTAATTTAGGAAATTGTTTACTGCATGTTTGTATCCAGCTCATGAAGTTCTTATTATTTTAATTACTTATTTCAATACTGGACTGAGTACACACAAGCGTACTATATCTTTTCTTCGTGGTCTCCACATGTTGTTTCTTCATTTGTCTATACCCAAACATTACAGTGTAATGTTTGGTTACTCCACGTCACTGTGATCTCTTAATTTTTTACGGTTAAAATGATCACAATCAATAATATTTATCTTCTTTTTACGTTCTATCATGCATTGGTTTTACACTAGTGGATCCAACGCATCACAGGTGCGCGACCATGTTCGGTTGTTTACTAATACGATACTTAATTTTAGAGCGCGGGTGACTGTCGCGAGTCAAGTGTTGTTTCTGGCGCCAGATGTGCTTCTGTCTTTTTTTCATAACTTTCGTGAGGTATTTACTTTTATGTTTCCTTCTTCTTATAAATTTACTCTTGTTTTTGTTATTTCATGTCTAATGTTACATTAGAATTTGTCGTTAATTGGTCGTCTTGTTTAGTTGTCTAATTCTTGCGTCGCAACCATTTGATCCTCCTCGCCTTTTAGTGTATCATTCTATCAGTTCTATCAGCCAAGGTCAATGTAGAGAGGTCGGACAGGTCCCAGGTGAGGTACGAGGCGGGCGGGAGTGATGACGTCAGCTGATCCACCCTGCCTAGATAGATTTTTTTTAGATTGCCCACGAGGGGGGGGTTAGTTTATTGGGCCACCTTACATCCTGTGCAAGGTGAAGCGCAGAAGCGTTTACAGTGCCCAACTGGGAAGCATGCGGAGTTCATGCTTGCCTTTATGACTTATGCATTATGGTGTAAAAGCCTGAAGGGTTATGGATTTGTCAGCAAGTTACATAAAGTGACAGAATGATGAGTATGTGGGGGAATTTCAGTACAATTTATCTGTTTATGGCAAGCATGGTAGGTCCCTATTACTGTCAAGTGCCAGGCCTGTCACTAGGAGTGAGGGATATCTGGTCAGGGAGGGAAGAGGTGTTGGTAATGGCTGGGGGACCTGTAGGAGGAGGTCAGGACAAATGAAGATGTGGTGAGAGAGGGTGTGAGAGTTTGCTGACCACAAAGTTTACAAACAGTGTACAGGCTTCAGGGATGCCAATGTACTAGGCGTGGCGAAGTACAGGGGGTGGAGGGTGATACAGGGTGGTGCGGCACGTACAGTAGGGGTGAAGGGATGCACAGGGTATTGACAACATTGAGGGACATACATTTTAATGTATCAGGATGGTGTGTGCGCCGGGATGGCAGGGGTACAGGTAGCCGGGGGGTGGTGTCTCAGGTCCAATATTAGGTAGCCCTGTGGAGACAGCACAGACACAGTAGGCGCGGCTTGCGGTGGGTGGAGGACAGGTTGGAGGCACCAAGTGTCGTGACGATGAGGCAGGACTTCGCTTGGGGGCAGCAGGACACACCAGGCAGGCCCGGTAGGCACTAAGCACCAGTAGTGGAGGAAGGCCGGCGGTGGGAGAGGCCGTGAGCAGGGGGGGCAACAGATGGCAAGAGTAGGCCGGAGATGGTGGTACAGAGGTAGCGAAGAGTTTTTCAATACGGCTGGTAAATTCTGTAAGAGGAATATGATCTGTGCTGCGTCACTGGAGGGGGGTTGTGGGGGGGGGGCACTGGTGGGAGCACAAGGCCTGACAGCTTCAGAGTACAGATGGGAGGAGGCCTATTAGTAGCTGGAGTAAGGAGATGGCTGGGACTGCGTGCTGCAGCCAGGAGAGGCCAGGCCAAGGCAGGTGTTGTTGAAGAAGGCGTTGTTGGAGACAGAGGGCACACAGAGGGTGGCCCGGAAGACTGGTTAGGGAGATCCTGGGCTTTGGGGAGGCTTTTTCCCTGGGGGGACAGGCGGGCGATTGGGGGGCATTGCCAGGTAATCAGTACTAAGTTTGGCTGCTGGGTTACAACATCTGGAGGATCAACTACATAGCCCACAATCACCCCCCATATTAAGGTGGTCTTTGATTTTCTGGGGCTGAGTTATGGTTAGATGTGAACAGAAATGACATTCAGACGATCATGTCGGCAGCAGGCAGTGAAGGTGTGACCTCAATGAGAACAGAGAAATTAAAATGCAGGCCCAGGATGATAGGCTTCTGCATTCAGTGGGGGGTAGGAGTGGTGGGCATCCACAGTGGTTGGGCACTCTTCTCTTCCACTTGACAATGACAGCAGCTTCAGGAACTTTCCCTGTAATGGCGACGTATACTCAGTATATTAGAAAGTTAAAGTCACGCTCATCTTCGATGTCAGCGTGAGCAGGAAACGTTTCACCAGGATGTGCATTCATCAGTTGCCTTACTGGGGGGCATCAGGATAACCTCAAAGCCAACAGTACTAAGTGTTTCAGACCTCAGGAGTTTGAGACTTGATAAAGGTCCGCTCTACCTTTGTCGGAATTCGAATGTTGAGACCGTGCTGTCTGCGCACTTCATCATCTAATTAAAGGTTCCCCACAGTTTTCAGAGAGAGTCCTGGGGAAGTGCAACTAGCCATTTATTGGTTGGCAGAGGCAGGTGATAGGGTCCATGGCATTGGTAAGCTTCCATTCTCGGTTAGAGCTTCCCATAGAAACATTACCGTCACTGTCATAATCATCAGGGTCTGGTCAAAGAATGTTGGATTCAGTATGACCAGGCGAGTTGGTAATGGCATCCGTATCAGAGATGTCTGCGTCCATGAGAGCTCTTCTGGGACGTTTATGTCGACCTCCATGCTGGCAAAACTTGCCAGCTGAGGGGACCTTATTGGGACGATCGGGAAGTCAAGAGCACCTATATGGGTCCGGACTCGGGCTAATATAGACGAATTTTGTTACTATGATTGACCACCCTGCCTACGACTCCTAGTCCTTGACAAGTTGACCCCAGTCTGACCCGGACCATTTGTGTTTGTGTGCACACCACTGTCTGAGGCAATCAATATAATATTTTGTGATGTAGTTCATATTCATTGAACTGGTCTGAATGCTGCAGATATGCCGAGCAATTGCTAGTATATGGATGCAATAACACAGAAAAACCAGCAGGCTCAAGCATTAAATATTTCAGTTTTCCAAAGGAAAAACAATTTTGAACAGTGGTGGGTTTATTCCTGTTGCCGAGCTGATGACATCAATGCAGACAGTGCAGTGGTGTGCTTAATTTTGAGGAATGTGATTCCAGAGATGAGCTGAAATGTCGTCTCCTTGGAAATGAAACGCCAAATAGACAACAGACGCTAAGGGATGATGCAGTTCCATCCCTCTTTTTGCCTCAAGGTAAGTTACAGTTACACTGTTTCCATTATGGACATTGGTCCAGTACAGCGGCGGATCCAGGCGGGGACCACCTGAGCACCGCCCCACCCCCCCCCCAAAAAAAACTACTACTAGTACTACTACTACTAATAATCATAATAATGATAATAATAGTAATAATCATAATAATAATATTATTTTATTATTATTATTAATGTTAGCATTATTATTACTTATTATTATTATTATCATAATCTTGAATTCATTCTAACTAGAAAGCTAAATCAAGATTGTCTGGAGCATTTGTTTGGGTGCATAAGACAGATACATGGAGCCTATGACCATCCAAATGCTGTGAATTTTAAGTTCAGGCTCAAGAAGTTACTCCTGGGAAAAGACATTTCACTGATTTCTGATAAATCTAACACAACTATTGAGAATTTTGACTGCTTGTCAAGAAATATTGGTTTTAGATAAATAAATGATAAAGGTACACCTTTCAATGACAGAGAGCTGGCGAAACTCTATGTAACTAATCAATGTTTCAAAGACTTGGATATTGACAATGAAGTAGAAAAAGAGTTAAGTGATGAGTTTGATGAAAACCTAGGAGAGTGTATAAACCCTGACAAAAATGACGGTAAAGCAATAGATTTAGTCATAGAAGAGGAAGCTCTTAGGTACGTTGGTGGCTATATTGTAAGAAAGTTTTGCGTGAAATACCCTCACTTAGGCCAGAAAGCGGGCCAGCCAATTATAGTTCCGGTGACGTAACTGCGCAGAGGGAG